GGCTGCCATCCCCGACCCCATCCCCACACAGGGGCTGCCATCCCCGACCCCATCCCCACACAGGGGCTGCCATCCCCGACCCCATCCCCACACAGAGGCTGCCATCCTCCGACTCCATCCCTACACAGAGGCCACCAATCCCCTGGCCTCATGCCCATGTGGAGGCCACCATCAGAGCTACTGGGTGTGGGTTCCCAGACCTGCTTTCTTTAAAAGGTCTTTGTGATTGTGTCAGTTGTCAACTGTTAGTGAAAAAATGATCCCATCAGAGAAAAGGACCTGAATGTTGATAATGCTGAGCTCTCATCTGCAGACATCATGGTACTGTGACTTTCAATGGTAAAATATAAGCACATTAGTGGGAGCAGACACCTGCCGCTCACATGGTGAAGACATTTATATGATAGATACGCTGCACTTCATAATCAGGGCTCTGCACCTTTGCCCTACAATAGAAATTGGATGATAGTTGGGGAGAATGGGGTGGGCAAGCAAAGGAGGTAGATATGACCATAATACATAGGATAGAAGAATGGGCTTGCCAAGAATGATATTCAATTAAAAATTAAATTAGAAAAATTAAATTGGGGGCTGGGAAGATGGCTCAGTGGTTAAGCACAGGACTGCTCTCGCAGAGGACTGGAGTTCAATTCCCAGCACCCACTTCAGGCTCCCCACCACCTGTAATTCCAGCTCCAGGGGATCCAGTGCCCTCTTCTGGCCTCTTCGGCTACTGCATGCATGTATCACCCCCCCACACACATCCATAGACACATACATAAGTAATAATAAAGTAAATCTCTAAAAAATAGAACCGTAAATGCAAAACCATAACCACCCGTCATAACATAGTAACGTTATGTAAGTACATTTTTAGTATCAAATATTTCCTGTTTCATACAGGAAAAGTATACAAGATTGATATTGAATAGAGGAGCTCACAGAAATGGAAAGATGTGGCTGCTGGCATGGCTGTTATGGGGGTAACCAGTTGCTCCCTAGCTGCTTTTGTGCTTGCTCCGTTGGGGGGAACCCACACCTACTGCGATAAACACCCAGTCCCAAAGCCCTGCCTGAAGAGGTCTGGCACCCTCGGGGAGCTGAAGACTGCTGTTTGTCACACTGTCTAACCACCTTCTAAATTTCTGTTTGTATCCACAAAGGCCAGCATCCCATCTCTGCAGGGAACAGAGGTGAATGCAGAGACTCATGGCTGTGCAAGATGCTGAGAATAAGGGATGGTCCAGTGCCCTGCCCTAAACAAGGCACATACTTACACCACCCTTTGTGGTCAGGGAACATCCTAGAAGGGGGCGGGGCCTATATAAGAGCCAGAAGATAGGGAGCAGGGCTGCGAAATGCCATCTGGGAGGCAGGAACTCACAGCAGCTTCAGCCTGTGAGACTAGATCTGTCCACAGGCATGGATGAGGAGGGGCCCACAGGGCCGTGCCCCTCCCCAGTAAATAACTGGCTTATGATGGGTTCTGGGGGAGGGGCAGGCACTGTCTCTGCTTGTGCACCACTATAGTGAGCCCAGCAGGTACGGATGGACAGCTCCAGGCGATCACACAGGTAATCCTTGTTGTGGAATACTAAAGATGTGTCACATTCTTTTATGCTGTAGAGTATTTGTTAATGATGCAAAGATGTGTTGCATTCTTTTATATCGCATTAGTTTAACTCTGCAAAGCTGTGTTACTTTGACTGTTTAAAACACCTAATTGGTCTAATGAAGAGCTGAATGGTCAATAGCAGGGCAGGAGAGGGATAGGCAGGGCTGCCAGGCAGAGGGAATAAATAGAAGGAGAGAAAGAGAGAGGAGGAACATGAAAAAAGGAGGAGAGAGGATGCTAGGAGCCAGCCACCCAGCCACCCAGCCACCCAGCCACCCAGCCACCCAGCCAGCCACGGAGTAACAAGGAAAGGATGGTTTAGAATAGAGAAAGATAAAAAAACCCAGAGGCAAAAGGTAGACAGGATTCTTTAAGTTAAGAAAAGCTGGTTAGAAACAAGCCAAGCTAAGGCCAGGCATTCAAGTGAGAATAAGTCTCCGTGTATTTATTTGGGAGCTGGATGGTGGGACCCCCAAAGAGTAAAGGTTGAAAAAGACAAAAACAAATCAACCCAACTCCAGGTCCTGGTTAAGCTCATGGGTCACAAAACAAGACAAAAGAGTAGGAATGTGGGAAAGGGCTCTGTAGGAGGAGTGGGGAGTGATCACCGAGTGGACGGGAGCTGGAGAAGGTGGGGTGAGAATCAGAATGCTTTGTGCACACGTGTGGAATTGTGAAAGAAACAATTTAATTAACAAGGGAAAAGGAAACGGTGGGGGCTGTGGGTGAGGTGGTGTGTGTGTGTGTGTGTAAGGGGGTGGGGAATGGGTGAGAGTGTGGGC